GTATTTTTAATTATAATAATACGGGATACTGGAGAAATACAATTGACGTTAGCGTGGATTCTGATTAATTTTCTTCTTGATGATGCGCAATCACCAATATTGTCATCATCATATGCCATTTTTGTTATATATTTTACAAAGGGAATGGGAATGGATCGAAAAAAGAAAGATGAAGGAAAAAATAGCAAAAAAGCACCTTTTCAGTGGATTATTAGTTGAACTAATTATAGATTTATTTTTTTCATGTCTCCTTATTCATATGATGTATCTAGTGATCTTGTGACGAATTATTTAATCACCCTGAAGGATTTATTAAAATGATGCCATGATAAATTTGGAAAATTGAAAATTCTGGCCGAAATTATTAAAACGTTCACCTTAAAATGGAATGGTCAGTTGGGTAAACTTTCTCCATATCATACGTGATAGTTCAGTGAAATTTCCCGATTGGAAGTCTTCCCATGGTCTCACTTCATGCTTTTGTAAATTCATATCGGCTAGTCGAAAATGTTCTACAAATCAAGATTTCGTAAACAACTTTGGTTAGGATCATTTTTTCAGCGAACATTTCAATCTAACTTTCCAAGTTTAAATGTACAGATATATATTTTTTTTACATTTAGTGAAATGCCACAAGTAAAATTCTTATGTATAGTCCGTAGATTTACGTAAAAAATCTCCAAAAATTTTATTTACGCGAAATTTATCACAACACCATTTTGTATAATACCCAAAAGTAATTTTTTCTCCTAGTTCAACTATAACATAATAATAATACAAAAATAATAATACAAAATGATACAATAATAATACAAAAAAAAATAATAATAATAAAATAATTTTACAAAATAAAGATTGGTATATTTATAATCTTAATCAGTTAAGCATACACTTTATTATTTTCATGTTGAGCTAAATAAAAAAATAAAAATATATCTACATCATAAGAACAAAATTTTCTTTTTATTTTATAAATGAAAATGTTACACGTTAAAAAAAAAATAAAACGATAATAAGAGTTACCATAACCATTTCCAATATAAACGATGCCATTCACAATACTTGGACCAGAAGCAAGAGTTCCTATAGTTTGAAATTCATATAAAATCACGTCAGTTTTGGCATCTATAGCAAATAACGTACCATTATCATCACCACTTTCATAATAAACTACACCATTTGAATAAGATACTGGAGTCGATCCTCAAGTTTGGAATGGGTTTGCTGTTTGCCATAAAATTACTTCCCGTCTTAACATCAAGTGCTACTATTGCACCTCCAAATGTTGCGGATTGACTATATGGTATGAATCCCTATCACTATTGGATTGTGATATAAAATATCTTCCTCCATCAGTTCTGCAAAAAAAATTAAGATAAAATTTGCAACCAAATTGAAATCCACCTATCAAGGAAAGAATTTAAAAAGTTTCCTTCATTCTCTCTTCCTTGCACTTACCAACTATACCACCAGGTCCAGAATTGGTAGTCATATAATTTCACCGGTTGCAGAATCTAACGCCCACGTGATTCCAGATTTCGCGGTTGCAATGACAAGTTGAATGCAATTACCATATTCATAACATACATCTAAAAATAGGGGTGCCTGACCAAAATCATTTTTTTTTTTTTTTTTTATCAAAATTCTAAATTTAAATGTTTAATTGCCATAATCAAGCCCAGTTAAACCAGAATAGTTTTGTGAGTTTGGACTATTTTCAAGACAAGAAACTGTCCAAACATCTGTTTCTGCCGTTTTTCTTGACCATCTTATCTCTCCCGTATTCATGTTGATGCAAGAATTGCGTCAAAATAATTATTAGGATAATCACATCTAATGGAACCTTAAAAATTCAAAGAGAAATAAATGATTATTCCTTTTTTTAAGAAAGAATATTTAGCAATTACGTAAATCCGAATTATTACACCATAATTATTCCCAGTAGCAATATAAACCAAATTATTTTCGAGATCAATAGGTGGAGCAGAGCCTCAAACCGCGTTTCCGGAATACAAATCATTTCTACCATAATTATTTGGTGTCATGTAAGTTTGCCAAACAATTTTACCAGTTTTTAGATCTAATTTAGCAAACTCCCTCGAACGAGCAACATTTATAATCGGGTGATGCAGTTAATTCTTCAAATGAAGAAACTCCAAAATACACATGACCATCAAAATTGTAGCAGATTGAGTTATAATAGCATGATGATGTTTATCAAGTAACGTAACCCAAATTAATTCACCATCGAGATCAACTGCCACAATATAAGGACTTCCTCCGATGTTTGAATTACGGGTTCCAAATACCAAGTAATTTTTCTTTGGATCACTGCGATGGTTGAACGACAAATAACTAGTGGATCTAATGGTCTTGGAAGATATTTGTTTGTGATATAGTTTCTGCATCTTCCGAATACAAATATCCTGACCAATCAGGAAAATAAACATTATTTTTAAATGTTACAGGTGTCGCTGAAACAGATTTTCCTGTTTCAATAATAGATTTAACCCTATACTTGGGCAGGCGTATCACAGATTAACAACATATCCTGAATTTTTCAAAAAAGAAAAAAAAATTACCTTTAAGCAATACGTTAATAAAATTGTTAGCGAATACAATTGAAAAAAAGGAGTATTGCTTTGAATTTCATTGTAAAAAAAAAAAAGAAAAGAATTGAATTCATAAAACGCCGCCAAAATGAGCTTGGATCATCATACATACAATATGACATAATAAATTTTAGTTGATTGATTTTCTTGAGTATCCATCTTGTGGCTTGACTATATGCGCTCGCGTCTTAGCCAAGCTATGTATGAGTGACCAATTTTTAATATCCCCCCGTCTTCAACGCACCAAACATAGAATAACTCTTGTATAAGTTAAACGATCTTGAATATTAATGGATAGATACAAAATAATATAATCGTCTTTCATCTTTCGTGAATAGTATTAATAGAATTATAAGTTTGATAAAATAGGTACAATATAATATTACTACAGACCATTCTTTCGGGTTTGATCACTTTCCGTATTAATATTTAGCTTGACCATTAACATGTAAGAGAATATAATATACACGAATGTTCTTGGAGTACCAAAATTTACGCCTAATAGTAAGTATAAGATCAAAGTTTTACATATCCAAAAATGTGATTCATATCCGCGCAATATTTTTGAAATCAAAAGATATAATTTTAAATATAATTCTGATTTATAATATAATAATTTTGATAAATCTTAACTTTGTAATTACTTAGAAATAAAATTTAATTAACAATTAAACGATATATTAACCGTTTTAATTTAAATCTCGATATTCATTATCCAAAGAAAAAATACAAAATCAGCTGGCAAATATCACCTTTGGTTTATAATGGTCGGAGGCAGTGGAATTAGATTAGGGTTTGAAAGAACTTGTTCTTAATCATATTCGTGGCGCCTTTAACTAGAAATGTTTATTTCCCTGCATGCAACGATAGAAGAAAATTAATCAGAATCCACGCTAACGTCAATTGTATTTCTCCAGTATCCCGTATTATTATAATTAAAAATAC